TTAGATCTGGGCTGAAATGGTGTCAGGGCCATTCTCACACATACATGCAGGTGCTCATTGGTTAGCCTCGGTTAGCCTGCCCTGGAACGATATTTAGTTTTACTGCTTATTTTTTGTGACCTCAGTTCTGACTCGAGAGGGAATGTTTGGTCAAACACTTTGTGTTTTGTCTCATAGTGGCGTTTTGGGACTTTTAATGAGCGCCACGGTCTCTGAACAAATGAGACACACTGGTTCTGTGCTCCCAGTGGGCAGGATGAACATGAATGAGTCCGTCCACTCGGGGTTAAAAGCTCTGTTCTCACTGTCCAATTTCCTCTTCTTGGAGAGCGCCATGTGTAATTATTTGTCTCTCCCTGTCTGCCGCTAACACGCCTGTTCACACTCCTCTCCGCTCCTCTCCCTGTATCGCTAATTATTCTCTTCACACTTTCCTCTCCGCTTCTCTCTGCCGTGCTCTCATCTCTTCTTCTGTGTTTCTCTCCCTGTATCGCTCACTCCTCTCTTTCGTCCCCTATTAATTTATTGATTGTAGGTCCGGGTCCGTATAGGTCGGCGTCCGGGTCCGGACCGCGGTCCGCCTGTTGCCGACCCCTGGTGTAGGGGGTGGTTTGGGATACACAAGCTCACACTTAGCTACTTTATCTACCTCTGGAACAAGCTAAACTAGTTATACATATATTTATTCTTCACTGTCGGGTCACTCATTACTGGATCAGTGAGCTGCATGAGACACTAGGTGTTTCTCAATGTCGAGTACGCTTGCTTGGTAGCACATGTCTTCCGAGCGTCTTGCTTCAGAAGCGAGGCAAGAATACTTCCTAGCCTCGGAAAACGAAGAATGGAACAGGCTAGCAAGTGTGCAGGTCTGCGTCATATGAGAGGCCCCGCCTTATATTTTCCGCCACAGATTTGGGGAAATTGGTCCGTGCGCAAAGCATTGTAGGGATTTTAAGACTGCGGAGTCTACACATGTGCAGCCCCGAAATGTCTCCAAACGAAGTACGCCGGGCTCGGTAGAATTCAAAGTATGCTGGACATTGGGACAGTACTTCGGCGGCACTCGATGACGTAGTATGCTTGAAATAGTGGCTCTGGAGCAGCTTTCCTCGAGATTGAGAAACGTGCACTGACAGGCTGTCAGGAGTGAGAGAGAGAGAGAGGGAGAGAGGAAAAGAGAGCGCTTCCGCTCATTTCTCCCGTGTTATTATCCAAAGTTAATGTCAACTTAAATAATGTACTTCATTTGAATGTAATAATTATGTAGGTTGTTGTTTGTGGAAGCGCCAGTGAATGAGCCCCATTAACTGAGTTGAAAACATCACTTTAAATGGAAGATCCCCATAGGCCCCACCCACTCGATCGGATCGGTGATCGGTATTGGCCGATACTGATTCCGGCGGTCGCCCCCAAAATGTGGCGATCGAAGCATCCCTAGTATTAAGTGTCTCTCCTGTGACATGTCTCCATGCTTTAATTTTCAAAAAGCTCTGTATTTTTCTCATACTGCCTGTGCTGCAGCACCTCTTTTCACCCTCTGTCTGAAACCAGAGCCCAGTCTGCTCTGGTTGGTTAGCTGGCCGGCACTGTGTGATTGGTCAATTGCTTAGAGATGTCACGCCCCTTAGCCTATCAAATACAATGTGTTGGAGCGCTAGCCGATAGAAGTGATAGTGTTATAGTGATATCACTATGTTACAGAAGTTAAAGAAGTGTGGAGTGTGTGGGAGAACACAGGGATTTTACCCTTTGCAGACCATTTACATGCACTAAAACCTATAGACCCACTACAGGAAAGAGAACACCTCAAAAAGCATAATAGGACCTCTTTAATATCCAATCATGCACCCCTTAGCCGAAGCATATACTGTACCTGCAGACTGATCCTGACATTGTTGTACGTCAGCCAAGCATTTTTTAAATATCTCAGGGATATTGGCTGTAATGCTTTTCAGTATTTGTTTTGATCCCGGCAGGTAGGGAGGGAGACACTGTGTTGGGTTGGACTGAGAGCGGGATTACAGCAGACAAAGTGCTGAGAGACACCTGCAGATGAATAAACCCTCTGAATTTGATTTGTCATCACATGTGGGCGTGAGAGGATGACACACTTCTCAACAACAGAGGAGAGTCACTCAAGTTGCCAGTGTTGACTTTCTCTTGCAAAGCTAGACTAACATTTTACAAAAGATCAACCGAGCGTCCCTGACAGGTTTCTCGCAGTGCTCAGTCACGCAGATGACTCCTGGTGACCCTTTCAGACAAATCCGGAGTTTGACTTGACCTGCCTCAGTAATGAATCCCCTCTGGTCGGGCTGCCTTTGTGAGATGCTCGCTCACAGCTGGGATTGTTGCTTGGAAAACAGGGCGTGTTGGAGGTAAAGTCGGGCGTTGGTCAGACGTCAGAATTGGAGGCAGCTCTTCGCCGCCCAGATGTTCCTGGCACATAGTGCTATTGTTCTGCTGCTGAGCTGGAGGATTCCTGTCGTGTCGAGGAGATTCCTCGCTGTGTAATGGGGTATTATGATAGCGCTCGCTCTATTCAATAGACTAATGACTTATGCCAAAAGCTAATGTCTCAGGGGAGTCCCTTGTATAGAGCGGCATAGTTTTTAGAGGGTAAGTGCCATTGTGTTTGATCCCGGGCCGTCTGCATGCTGTTAACCTCTTCAGTGTGATGGAATATGAAGGCATGTCCTTTAGAGCAATGCCTCTGCAGAACTGGAAGATATATAAAGCCGTGACTGGCTTATGACGTGGATGCTTTTGAAGATATGAGAGAAAAAAGGCCAGTCAAAGAAGCAAACATGATAAAGGTGATCTGATAAGCTATGGAGTCAGCGTTGTGCATTTTCAATAGAAGTGTGGTAGAGTAAAATGTTAGTGGTGGAGAGAATCAAAAATACTTAGCTCAGTAGCTACTATTTGTAGGTACTTGTCCTTTAATATTTCCATTAAATGCTACCTTATTCTAAGTTTGAGGGAGATATTGCACGTCTTTGTCCACTACATTTGTATTTATGATTAACCAATCATTTGTACCTGAAATGAATTTGCTGTTGTTTTAAGTCTATATCCTAGGCCATTTAGAGTAACTCAAAGTTTGAATTATTTCAACTTTTATCTCTTTTCCACTGACCTTACGACCAATCAGCCGACAGCTGTATGCAGCGGCGCAAGCTAGCAGGGGAACACAGAAACAGAACTAACTAGCTTTCTTCACCATAAGGCTCTGCCCGCGTATACTGTGTGAATGCAGCTTCACTCACTAATGGCTTCTGGTCTGAAACATGTTGCATGCCAAATGTTACATCTTGCATTAGCCTCTGAGAGAGAGATATGTACGAACATATTGTAATTAAGCCACTTTTAAATTCGAAAAACATCACTTTTACTAGTCAGTCTTACTAGTTGTACATTAAGACGAATAACTGAGCATGTTTCTTATCTCCAACACAGCGTTTCCTCTGCGTCCCAGGAGAAGGTCCGCCTCCATTAACAGGAGGTGGTTCAGCGTGTTGTGCACTGTACCTGTCTCATTGGATTGAGTCCAGCTGAACACATTTCTTGCTTGTCATCCAACCCTTCTGTCTATTGTCATCTGACTGTCTCCTGCCTGTCGCCTGCAGCGGGCAAGTCTTTGGAATGGTTTTGCAAACAAAAGTAGGTCTTGCCTGGAAAATATGACATCAGTAATATTATGATTGCACTCTGCACGCAAGAGGACACAACGGGAGTTTCTTTCAATAAGCCTAAGGCGCAGAATTCACCATGGATTTGTTTGCTAAATGGGCTGGAAAGATAAGACTTTACAACCAATTTGCATTGAATTGTTCTCCGCTGCCAGATCAAGCAGCCCATGATGAGTGATGGGAGAGAGTGAGGCGCGCCAATGTTGGAACCGAGTCCAATAACAACTTGTATTACATTTCATCATATTTACATTCGAGATATAGAGGGGACAAATCGGATTTATTGGTGCAACACATTCTTTAATCTGAAAAATGTGTGTGATGGTGGAACAAGTTAAGTCTTATTCTCTAATTCAGCACTTACTGGTTAAATCTTATTTATGGATTGCATGATCCCTGGGTTTAAAAACTACTCCATCTTAGGCTGCTTAAAAACATATTTTCTTATCTTCAGAAATGCATGAGCCTTAATTCATGCGATGTTTGGCATTTTTATGACACTGCGTTTTCTTTTTTGACTGCAGCAAAATTTGCTTGATGAGTGATTTACTGGAACGAAAGCAGATTTATGAGCTAAAGTAAACTTAGAAAGGAGGTTTGCCTTCATCTTGGGACCAAACCGATGCAAAGGCCTCTGGAGAGAGTGGTTAAAGGTGTTAAACGTTCAGCGGTTGTAAATTAAGGTCTTTATGTGCAATAATGTCCAAGACCAAGGCAAGACTACCTAATTTTGCTGAGTCACTTGTCAGCATAAGTAAGTAAAGCTGCAGTGTGAAGGTGGGAGATATCTAAAGGGTTGAAAATAACCAACGTTCTGGAAATCTAAGCTACTGAAAGAAGCTTTCCACTCTCAGCTGATTCAGAAATGGCAGTGTAGCTCTGGTTTGGCACGGAGATGAAAGGGCAGCGTTAGCCGGGTTTTGTTGCTCGTTGCCTCGTCGTCTTCCACATCAACACTTTCTGTTTATCACCCCTGAGTCTGTCTCCCCGTCCATCAAAACTTTGTTTCACTCATTTATCTTTCACTTTTCCTTTTTGCGTTTTATTTACCAACTTCAAAACCTCCAACACTGAACACAGACTGCTTTTGTTACACTCTATGTTCACAGAAGATGTTGGCACTCAGTTCCCTGTTTTAGAGTAATTATCTTCAATTTGAGTCAGTGATCTATCATAGCTTCAAAGGTCAAATCCATGCCACATACAACACAAGACAGGATGTAAACAATAATGATGATAGACTTGATCAAAAGTTTTCTTAAATAAGTATTTATTTTTACAAAATTGTGTAAATTTGGCCAATATTTGGCACCTCGATGACAAAACATTTCACAGAAATGACAAACCGGAACATGTGACGTACCAACATGGCAATCACATTGAAATGTGTACAAAATAATAAATAAATAGAACATATATGTCGTGAAAAATATTTAAATTATGACATGTATAGAAATCCTAGATAACATGAGCATGAAAGACTCCCAGCAGCTACTGCACTTCACAGCTAAAGACCTGGCAGGCAGGAGATGACCTGTTACGTAAAGGCACTAAATAGTTTCAGTCGGTGAAAAAATGTCAAGTCACATAATCCCTTCTATGTAGGCGTAATAACCTGTTATTGCAACTGTATAATGGCATTGTGGAGTATAATGAGCAGGACTGCTTTGGTCCATACACAGCAGTGATTCTGACTCAGTGTAACAGAGGGATTCATGTTAGATCCTTCCAGTTGAAATGCTATTTGATCAGGTTTTGAAGGAGTGACCGTGACAGCAACACGATCAATGAATATCATTGATTTATCCGTCCGCTTCTCTTCTTTCTCTTGAACTCCCTGTATTGTCTCTGACCTCGTTCATCTGTCTGACGAAGCGCCACTGAGTAGAGAAAAGTTCTCTGCTCTGGCACCACGAAGAGAGCTGTCTTCGACCCTCTTTGGGCTCTTCATTGTCTTCCACTGGCTTTAGAATTGAGAATCCTTTTCCCCCTCTGTAGGACAAGGTGCGGAGGAGGGTCTGTGGTGTTTAGGAGGCCCTGCTCTCTCCCTCCCAGGTTCTCCCCCTGTGGTGCTGTCTCACCCTCCACTTCTCCAGCAGCAGACGTGTTTTGAGGGCAGACCTGATGGCTAGAGGCGACACCCATTTCTTATTGTTTCTTTTCCTCATCCTGTAAACAAAGACAGATAACAGTCAGACATCTGAACCATCGATCCCTCAGCTTATGGAAAAAGTCAACCTAGCAGGGTGGATTTGAGCTGTCACTCATATTTAAACAGCTAAGTGTCACAATTTTATGAAGAATTATGAATGTGTCAGGAAGTACAGACGGATGGCGCCGCAAACTTTGAGAGGCGAGTTTCAGACATGATGGCACATGCTGCTCAGAGTGTATCTCTGTATTACTCTCATGTTGAGATACAGAGCGTGGTGCATTCAATTCCACACAGTCTGAGAGGTTAGGTGGAATTTATTGTTGTGCTTGTCAAGCTGGGAATTCCTTGCTTGAGGGTTATTCTCAAAATTCCAGGTGATGACATCTCTCAGGCAAAAAATATGTACACTGCGATCAGTGGTGGAATGTAACCGTGTACATTTACTCAAGTACTGTACTTTATCAAATCACAATTTAGAAGTTTACTTTATACATCTAAAAGGCACACATTTGTTTACGCCACTGTATTTGATTTAAAGCTTTTTTTGCAAAAAGTTAATATATTATTATGGCCTTTTTTAAGCTTTGCAGCAGTATTATGAAAATCAGTACACATTAACAGGCTGCAACATTTAAGTTATAAACCGATTAATGCATCACTTGTTATAAGAAAATATGATTCTGACATGGGGTCTTTTTTAAATGATGTGCTTTTTTGATGCTTGTTTTTTTTTTACTTTTACTAGACAATAAATGCAATAGGCTACTTGTATTACTTGTAACAGACTTTTATTGAAGTAAAACATCTAAATGCGTCCTCTATTTACTGAGTGGTAGTAGGCTAATTACCACTTGCACTTATTTAGCAAATACACTTTAGGTATCCTGTAGCCTGTTGTCTTACCCTTTAATCCGCCCGGTGACTGCCGCCAGCCGGGGCTCACACTGCGGCCCGACACAAACATCGCGCTCTCCGGGGAGAGTCTCCGTGAGGGAGGCTTCAGACCTGCAGGAGAGAGACCATATGTCATTTATTTATCCCGGACTCTTTCCACACTTTACATTTAAGACACGGAACTTTTTTTTTCACGTGTTGGAAACAAGCGCTCGTGCGATTAGTAACCCTGACATTAAATAAACAATGAGTGTTCGCAGTATTATTGTTTTTTCGGGAGCTGTATTGAAAATAGATGACATTGCCTTTGCCTACCTGAGGAGGTTTTCCAGCCCGCAGAAGTTTCTACACGTGTCGTCGTTTTGATTGACACACCTGCAGCGCAGGGGTCCGCTGCTGGTTGCTATGGATTCTGCGACCGCGCGCCTCTTCCTGGGACCGTTGTTGCCCAGTCCGTATGAAACCACGCGCCTGGAGGAAGAAGAAGGAATGAGAATTAATCAACTGAAATTAAAGTTCAAAACTATTCAGCTTAAAAGCGTTGTGTTTAGGGTTTAAACTGTCAAAAATAATCCTTTGGCTTTCTGTATAAGTAGCCTATTCAAATATATATGCTAACAGGGAAAGGGTGCACTTCATTTTTAGAGTTAGATTAAAACTCTTATAGCCTAATAGGTTAATTGCACTCAAAGAAAGCCCGGAATAAACACATGCACAAACAGTATACACATGCAAGTCCGCACGTTCTAGTGGTCCGATTGGGACTTGAACCGGCGACCCTTCAGTTTCCAAGCCAAGTTCCAAAAGACTGAAATACTGCTTTCTAAACTCGCCGATTGCTACTCATTTTACCGATAATAAAACGTCTGATTCTATGCTAATTCGGCTGGAGAAAGTATGGAATCCGTGAATGTAGACTTACTCAGGAGTGTTGACCCAGATGATGTCCAGGTGGCAGAAGTACACACACTCGTTGTCCATGAAGGTGGCGCAGGAGCAGCGTTTGGTCCGCACATGGCGCTTCTGCGAGTCGGTGGAGGCGGAGGGTGTCTGTGCAGCTGGAGCTGATAGCACTGTAAGGAAATCAAAGTTATCAAAACACTGCACACCAGATATTAAGCTGACCTTATGTCAGAACGATTCATATAACAGAAACATTGCAGATGCGTTGGCTTTACTTTGCAGAGGTATAGTTTAACTGACATGATTTGAATCCAAATATTACTACAGTATATGTATTAGTGTATATGCACAAATAGTTAAATGGAAAAGCACAAGACAAACAAACAACTAATTACGCAAAAATTACCTGCGCTGAAAGTCCAGGAGTGCATCATTGACAAAACGGAAATCAAAATGTATACATCCATTTTTGCAGGCTTTTTAAAAACAAAAGTATTTATCAAAAATGAATAATCCTCCAGAAGGGGACAAATATCCAGTGTATCTCCTTCGCAAAGTGTTTTTGTGCTCGTCCTCGGAGATTGACGCAGAGTTCTCAGTGTCTCAGTGTCAGTGCTGCTCCACCAGCGCAGCCTCCTCACTTTATACTCTCAGTTGCCATACCCCCCTCCCCCCCACTCCTCCCC